TTTAGCTCCTCTACTCCCAGACGTTTCTTTATTAGAACAAGGGTCGTTGAGTTCAAAGATGTTGGCATGAAGGGGTCGGTGAAAAATTTCAAGATCGACTTTGATAATTCATCCCCCAGGACACTCCAAGTAGCCTTGAAAAATTCGGCAGTCATGCTATCCGGTCCAGGCGTTTTCCCCTGAGGCATATGATCCAAGGAAGTTTTTATAATATCCATCTTGAGCTTCAAGAGAGAGTCAATGTGCAGTAGTACATCTTGGTAAAGGTAACTCATTCAAATAATCTGCAAGTTCCGGACAAATCTCACCCTGGATCGTACCCAATAAATCCGAATAATATCCAACCGCAAACTCATGGATCTCCTTTGAGGACTCTACCCTAGTACCGTCAAGTCTGTTTAAATTCTTGACCACATTAGATGCATTCCGTAGTTTAGTCACCAGATGGAAAAAGGTAGTGTTAAAATCTCCCTCAGCTAACCACTTAATCCTTGATTTTTGTCGGAAAAAACTCTCCTCTGCTAAACATAACCTAAGCCAAGCCTCCCTTGCCGTTTTCTCAATAACCAAATTTGAAGTAGACGGGTCATGCAGAGACTGTAACTGGGTAGATTTTAGGTTGTCTTTAGCCGCAGCACATCTTTGTTCAATATCGCTGTAATTCTCCTTTAACAACGTCTTTAACGGTCTTTTTAAGGACTTAAGCTTATAGCAAAAAGATTTCAGAGTTGTTGATTCTTCACCTCCATTAAGCCAAGCTTCAGTGACCGAATCCAAGAAGGATGGATGCTTACAGAACAGATTGAAGAATTTGAACGGTCTTGTTCCATAATCAGGCGGAGGAGTGAAGAGTTTGATGTGGCATGGTGCGTGATCTAAAAATTCAGGCGCCTCAAAAGAGTAATCACTGGTAGGGAACAACACTTGCCAATTTCCATTTATCAAACATCTATCCAGTTTCTTTGCAATCGGGTCTGCATGTTGATGATTCGACCAAGTAAATTGTGTGTTAATTATCACATGTTTTTTTTTGTTCTAGAAATTGATTCTAGAATGGGGGAAGGTGGCACCAACCAAGAAACTTCTTCAACAATTTTGTCTCACCAACCAAAGGCTAAGTTTTGTCAACAAATGTTAGCTATCACCAAACCTCTCATCTCCTATAAATACCCATGTAAGGAGAGGAGCAAAGATCATCCC